ACAATCTTAACCTTGTTGCGGTCCGGTGTGTCCTCGTTGTGAGATAAACACGTGTGTATCTCCTGAAATTGCCCACAACAAACATGGCGGACTCGGAGATTGTGTTCACCATAAAGAAATGTAAAGAAACAATAAGAAGCGATATATATGCACAAACAAATTAATATGTATTAAACAACAAAAGTTACAAATTCCAGAAACAGTAATGTGTGTGTACGAATTAATGTGGAAAGTTTGTGCTTTAAAGTATGTGTAGTGAGTGAATGTGCGTATGTACGTGCGTGTGTGTATATGTATTGTTCATGGCGTTTCCCCCAAAGGGAAAAACGCAAATCTCCTCGAGAGATTTACATGTTGTAGTGTCCGCTGAAAAGTCAGAAGAAAAAGAGGGCGAGAAAAGATATCGCCAAGTATATATATAAAACTGGAGAGCGCCCCCTAGTAACAGTTTTGGAAAATTTGGAAATTAGGAGGAGTTAATCCGACAATATCCTCTCCGGATAGGCAGGAAATATTTCCTGGATATATGAAAAGTTCACGGAAGTTTTTATTTCTGTCCCTATGAGCTGAAAAGAAAAAGTGTCGGTTTAGATGCGTGTTAAAATATGTCGACGATATGTGCTTGCGCTGTCATCATGGTGCTGTATTATTTTCTAATTGAATGTGTAAAACGTTTTGGAAAATTAGGAAGAGTTAATCCGGCAACCTCTTGAAACCTCGGGTCAATCGTTAAGTATTTTCCCTCTCCACAGGATCATCACTTGCCACTTCATTCTCTTGTGTTCATATTACACACCTCATTCAATAACTCTCTAACTTTTTGTGTCCCTGCGAGTATTTGTTCCGTGTGTCAGTCGTTTCCTTTTGGCAAATGTCTCACCTGCCTAATGGTCCCGTGAGCTATTTACATTAACCCCCCCACAACCCATTCTCTTGAGGAAAGTGTCTGCTACACTGCCAAATGTTCACTACAGGAATTCAGCTATGCACAAAACGGGTTGATACAAAATTTGAATTCAGACACATGCACGCACACACCCCACCCGATATATCTAAAAAAAATATACCTGTAAAAAGACAATACGAATATATTTTTTTTTTACTTCCGTTTTGTAAATAGTGGGTTGGTGCATAATTATCAGGCGTTTTAAGCAATATTTATAATGAAAAAGGAAATGTAACAATTTAACAATAACATTTTTAAATGATTATTCCTGAGCGTTTGATTATCGACACGCATTTTTATATTCTGAAAGTAGAATATTCTTATAAAAAAAAAGTAAACAAAGCAGCAATTTTTAATGTCGCCTACAAAAACGCCTGATAATTATGCACCAATATATTTACTTCGTTTGAGAAATTAATTCATGCATTATATGTTTGAAAAACTTTCTTCTTTCTTTTTATTTCTTTTCTTTTCTTCTTTCTTTTTATGCACCATGTCCTTTCAGGACGTAGGCGATCATCTCCACCCACCTCTATCCCTTGTAACTCTCAACATGTTCCTTCCCTTTGCTTCCTCCCCTAGACCACCTTCTGTTATCCACTTGCTTAAGTCCGCCAGGCATGCCACGCGTTGTTTTCCCTTGTCTCTCTTTTCC